TATTGTGGTGAGATTTAAAAGAAAAGCAGTTGAATTAAAATGTTAAAATACCATCATAGTAAAAGACTAAACTGAAGTCGACTATGCTTAAATAATAATTCATATATAAAGATAATCATACTTTTAACCCCTAAATTATTAATCATTACGCACTTTAGTCCATCAATTTGAAATTTAATTAATATGGTCCTCAATTGCGTTATCTGTTATAAATCTAATTCCTTTTTTTTTTTTTTTTTTTTTTGGAAACTAAATCTAGTTCCTTAATCTGTAGATTAGTCAATGTTAGTCCTCCAATTGTTTATTTATATAAGCTCCCATTTAAAAAATAAAATAAAATAAAGATTGAAGGACTGCATTAGCTAATTAATTTGCACCTTGATGGACTAAATTAACAATGTGATAAAATAATTGAGGACCATATTAACTAAAACTAAAAATAAAGATCTAAATTGTATAATGACCATCGTCAATTAAGGGACCCAAAATGAGATTTCCCAATATCTATTTAATAGAATTTTGTTTTGCCGTATACCACATGTTTTTGTTTTTTAATGCATAATTATTATGGGTAATATCATATCTATAACCAACTTGGTTGGTGTGAGTGATTGTGCACTCTCATCTTTTAAGAAATGCCGCAAGTTCAAAACCTCATATTGTATGCATGAAAAAATCAACATGACAAACACTTTATTCCTTAATTGGACCAAAAAATCATTTCGTATGAAAAATCAATATAACCATCACTTTGTCCCTTAATTGGATCAATTTAGTGCAAACGTGAATTAGTCTAAATATGATATGTGTTTTAAGGTGTCTCCTATAATTAAGACTTACTATATCTATAATATATTACGCGATATCAAGTACCAATAAGCCCGCGTGAGCTTAGTTCAATGGTTCAATGTGTAGTATTTGAAAGAAGAGACCAATGTTCGAACTTCGACAGCGATAGTATGATGATTATGTTCAAAGTGAGTAAATTCCTTGTGTGCACCGACATTTGGCTCTGTCTGTTCAACCATTGGATTACCGTGATTTACATAATTCCAAATGCTTTGTAGGACCAGGCCTTTAGGATTGGAGACTCTCCCTTTTGGGAGAAGTATCAACAATTAGAATTTCATTAATTATCTCAACTCTTAAGCACTCCCCCCCCCCCCCAAGTAACGGTTATGTTTTAATCTTTCCCACTTTAAGGTCCGTCTATTTCCTCTCTCATTCTTGCCCCAATACATAATAAAAAATAACATGGAATAATTTATTACGAGTAGAACGCAAAAACATAATTTGTATTCAACCCGATGAAAGTCCTAGATTTGATCCAAGATTTAAGTGAGTTAGTTGAGTTAACACGGAGTATTAGTTGACACGTACTACTTGTGCAACTCTGTCTACCCCATATTCATATATATCATGATGATCATGATTAAAATAATCCAAGACAATTTCTTTTATGTGATAAGGAAACCAGTCATAATGGCCCTGTTTGGTAAGTAGCTACCTGATGGCTATTAGCTGATTGTGTTAATTAGAATGTATAATTAATTGATAATATTAGCTGTTGTAGAAAAGTATTTGGTAAATTAGCTGTTATCTGCTAACTATTTGATATAATTTCTTTTCTGAAAAAGCTAATTAAAAAAGTTGCTTGGAGTAGCTTTTTGAATTTTAACATTTTGGAGTTGTAAAAAGCTAATTAACTAAACACTTATATTAATATTTTAACTAAATCAAACAATTAATAGTGGTCAAACAAGCCAAAATTGACCTATAGACCAATTTTTTACCAAACAAGGTCAATTATCTACCGATAAACTATATAAAAGAGTTAAATCACATCATAAAGATTTTACGCAACATGTTTATCTGACAAAGTGTTAGCAAGAATCGAAGGCACACGAAAATCATCTTCCACCTACTCAACCATCCTTTTTTGGGACAATCCAAAACAATCTTTAGATACACGTAATGAAGTTTAGTGGCTAATCACCTAAGATATCCTCATAAAAAGAGAGAAGTTGGAACTTGATTGGTTTTCATCATGGGTCTTCAAACAAAAGCAATTCAATTATTATTATTATTGATGTGTTCTGAATTTAATAAAGAAAGTTTGCTTAACTTCACAAGTAAGTGACCCATATTCTGATTTCGGGATAAAGAAGACCCCGCACACTTCCACTTCCTTTGCATTGTCTACTGTAACATTCAACGTGTGTATCCAAATTTCAAAGTTTTGTTTCAATTAAAAATTTTAATTAATAGTTGGACTGCATATTTATATTTTATATATTATATGTTATAACATATTTTTAATGCATGCAAGGCTGATTATTTTTTGACGTGTCACACGCAATATGTAAACATAATTATGAGTTTGCCTTTGATACCATATCATATTAAAGGTCAAAAGATACGTTTTATCTTAGTTAAAAAATATAAATTAATAATTGAACTGTATATTTGTTATTTATATATAAGATGCTCAACATATTAACTTACTATGAATTAACCAATTTCAACACAAATTATCAAAATATTAGGAAATAATATGTCAAACTATAAATGAAGGTTTTGTTAAGTACATGTACACAAGTAACACACCACCTAATTCTTTCTTGATATTACATTGGTATATCCCTCAAACTTGCCACTCTTTAAAAGCATGACCAATTATAGCTTGATTGCTTGAAGTAGTGGTTGCAATTTGAAAATGTTATATTTTAACTTGTATACGCCATTCATTTTTCAATTAACCTATCAAAATAATCTATTTTTATACTACCAGTAACTTCAATGCACTAAATTGTAGCTCACCCTTTTAGAACGAGAACAAAATAAGTTGGGAATCAACACTAAGAGCATCCATATTAATCAAAACTCACCAATAATCTATCTTCTCCGCCACTTGAAAAAAATATGATGATAAATCTAAATTTCAAAGCAATGGTGTTACTCTAATAATTATATGAAATTTAGCCACTTTAAAATTATTATTTTTTAAATCAAATCATAATTGTTGTAATTATTTCCCTTTAGCTCGCATTGTTTTCTGATAAAACGGATTATAGTACAACAAAAATAGAGACAAAGAGCAGGAAAGAAAAGAGACAATGTGATGTAGAAATTTTTATTCCAACAACCTCTTCAATACAAACGTAACATAAATAATAATGCTATGACCGTTACAACCATTTGTATTGAATGTCAATAATAATAAGAGTAAATACCCAAAATGGTCCATCGACTATAGCTAAATTCACAAATTGGTCCTCAACTTTTAATTTCAACCAATTAAGTCCTTAACTTTGCAATTTTAACACAATTTGGTCCTTTGTCTATTTGACCGTTTGTTGACTGCACTTGTTTAGGATATATATGTAATTCCATGGTTCATCGTCGGTTTTTTAAGGTTCCGGTTGCATTTCTAGACCGCACTGTTACATTTGAATCCACTGTCGGCGCTGCACCCCATGCCATAGAGATTATAGCTTTTGATAGATAGATCGCCGAAGTCCCTGGAGTGGCTCTTCGAGAAAGCCGTGACTCCAAGCGATGTAGGCAAGTTGAACCGGCTCGGGATCCCCAAGCAGCAAGCGGAGAAGCACTTCTCCCCTCCGAAACGGCGCTGTTACCTCCAAGAGCCTTCTCTAAGCTGAACCGGCTCGTGATCTCCAAGCAGCAAGCGGAGAAGCACTTCCCCCTCCGAAACAACGATGTCACCTCCAAGAGCGTTCTCTTGAGCTTTGCACGTGAAACTACATATATATCCTCAAAGATTGCGGTCAACAAACGGTCAAATAGATGGAGGACCAAATCGTGCCAAAATTGCAAAGTTAAGGACTTAATTGGTTGAAATTGAAAGTCGAGGACCAATTTGTGAGTTTAGCTATAGTCGGGGGACCATTTTGAGTATTTACTCTAATAATAATAATATATTTATAACAATAATCAACCACTTATGGTTAAAGAAAAAAAATGTCATTTTATCTCCTAATTATAAATGAATGACTTAGTATTAATGAAAAAAATGACATTTTATCTCCCAATTATAAATGAATGACTTAGTCCCCCAATTATATAGGTGCTTTAAATTTTGATATTATTAGTGGATAGTAGTGGCATTTTCCCCATCAAGATACAACTGTTAATTAATGACGACTTCTTTAATTTCGTATCAAAATATAAATCTTTGGGTTGAACTTATTATAAATTCACCTAAATTTTAATCAAAATATAAATCTTTAGGGTTGAACTTATTATAAATTCACCTCAATTTTAATTTTCTCTCCCATATTTTCCTTCAATAAATTGGTGGAGACAGAAGATCTAATTTTCACTTGAATATGTGACTTTAACTCATACAACTTGAATGCATAAAATTTCCTAAGGAAATCTGTGAGGGAATGAGAATACTAAGGTGAATTTATAAATTTAGCCTTGCAAAATTATATTTTAAAATTAAAATTAGTTGTCACTAATGATGTCACTTCAATAGAGGTAAAAATCACTACTATACTAGTAACCGAGTTATTATACATAAATGTAATTTACCTCTGTACACAATTTGATAATAGTTGAGCGATTATCTTGTATAATAACTAAAGACTAAATTCAATGTGAATTATCTTGTGGTCTAGTGATATGAAATGACTTTTTCAAATTGGAGGTCACTGATTTGGGGGCTCTAATAGAGTGAGTAATACTGAAAAGAAGACTTTAAAAACCCGAATCATTAAAATTTTTAGGTCTCAGCAAAAATGTCAAACACCAAGAATTTGTGAGATAGAGTAAAAGTTTGAGTAAAAAATGAGATTTTATGTAGTATTTTCTAAAAATAAAATTATTGTTGTCATGTAACATATCATAGTTTTCTAAGTATGGAACACCAAATTTGTGTCGTACGTCATCACTTATCACAAACAAAGGTGCAAAACGCAATCGCTGTCGAAGTGCCACTGCACATTTACACTTGACTACTACATGATTGTTAGACTTCCCTGTGAACATCCTCGTTTACTCTCTCTCTCTCTCTCTCTCTTCCTCCCTCTCTCTATATATATGAAGCTCTGCAAGTCTATGCTCACGAGTAAGCAAAGTAATTGTTCAGAGGCTCACGAGAAGGATGAAATGAAATGTGGCTGCTGCAAAAACGCCAAGTCTTCTCCTTCAATAAATACCCCCCAATCATCTTTTTGTGTTTTGGTGTCTGTTCTTTTGTCCAAACATTCTTAGACCTGTGAACTCGTGTCAGTGACCTGATAGATACAGACATATTCTGTGTTTGGCCACATTATTTCTTTTCCCTCCATATATTGTAGGGGAAATCTGCATCTTCTATTATTCTTCAATTCCCCCCCAAAACCCAAAGCAAGGGAGAAAAATGGCGGCTAAAGATTGGGTTTTGCTGTGCTTGGTGGTGATTTTAGGCTCCGCTCAGCTCATTCATTGCAGTGTGAGTTATGACAGGAAATCTCTCATCATTAATGGGCAAAGAAGAATTCTTCTTTCTGGGTCCATTCATTACCCAAGAAGCACTCCTGAGGTATTCAAGTTCTTAACTTTTTTTTTTCTTTACTTTCCTTTTCTCCTATCACCTATAATAGGTTAGATTCTAAAAACACAATGGGTCATGGGTGTAATGCAGATGTGGGAGGGCCTTATACAGAAGGCTAAGAATGGAGGCTTGGATGTTATTGATACCTATGTGTTCTGGAACCTCCATGAACCTTCACCTGGCAATGTATTACCATGGTTTTCTTGCATATTTTTGTGCTTTTCTTAGTTCTTCATTTCCACCTTTTTCCTGAACTAATGTGCTTTATTTTCTGTTTTTTTTTTTTTTTTTTTTTTTTAGTATGATTTTGAGGGGAGAAATGATTTAGTTAGATTCATAAAGCTAATCCAGAATGCAGGGATGTATGTGCATCTCCGCATTGGGCCTTATGTTTGTGGAGAGTGGATCTTTGGGTAATTTTTGCAAAATTTCAGTTTAGATAATTAGATTTCACCTAAAAAGTTGGCTCTCTAATGCCATTTCTCTGTTTAAATCTTGCAATTTCAGAGGGATCCCTGTTTGGCTGAAATATGTACCAGGGACCACTTTCAGAACCAATAGTGAACCTTTCAAGGTTGGTTTCTTGTTCTATCCATCTCTCCATGTGTATTAATTAATGTGTGTTTCTTCAGTTATTGGAGTGAGTTGGTTCTAATACTGTCCACAATTATTTTTCTTTAGAGGGCAATGCAAGGGTTTGTCCAGAAAATCGTCCAAACGATGAAGAATGAAAGGCTGTTTCAGTCACAGGGTGGTCCCATCATTCTCTCTCAGGTAAGCGTAATTTGGTTGCTACCAAATTTACATTCCCGGGGTTAATAATGTCGAGAATTCTTTTAAGAAATCCCGGTGGTTAAATAGTAGGGTATTGTTTTTTGTGGTGTCTGCTTGTTTAGATTTTCATGTTAGAAAAATTTATGCAGATTGAGAATGAGTATGGGTTAGTAAGCAAGGATTATGGCTCCGGTGGTCATGAATACATGACTTGGGCTGCAAAAATGGCTGTTGATCTGGGCACCGGGGTCCCGTGGGTTATGTGCAAGGAAGATGATGCACCGGATCCAGTGGTAAGCGGTGTTACGTTATACTCTTTGTATTGCAACAAACGGTTCTCGTTTCGTTCTTCTTTAGCCTATAACTGATGGCTTTTCCAGAAATGGTTTTTGCAATTTTCTGACAAAAGGCTATTCTTTGTTTTGACTTTCGAGAACAGATAAATACTTGCAACGGATTTTATTGCGATTATTTCACCCCAAACAAACCTAACAAACCCACAATGTGGACCGAGGCATGGAGTGGCTGGTAATTCCTCTATCTACCGTTGAGTACAAAAGTTTCACATTTCTGGTATCTTTAGTATGAAGTCACTTTCCTTAATATCGTAATTCATAAGGTTTGAGGAGTTTGGAGGCCCGATTCACCATCGGCCAGTTGAAGATTTGGCCTTTGCAGTTGCCCGATTCATCCAAAAAGGAGGCTCCTTTGTGAATTATTACATGGTCAGTGGCATTTATCAAAGTTTGTCCATATAGAATTAGCTCCCTAAAGATGTTAGGCACTGTGCTCGAGAAAATCGTGTATTAATCCTGATTTCTTTAATTCAGTGATTAGCAAAAAATCACGAGTTCTACGAGTGTTAACATGTTCTGTTTTCCTTTCTCTCGATAGTATCATGGAGGAACCAATTTTGGAAGAACGGCGGGAGGCCCTTTCCTGACTACGAGCTATGATTATGATGCTCCTATTGATGAATATGGTAAGAGTACTGAGATGATTCCTCTAAGCTTATTTCTTTGAATGCTTGTTTCTATTTGTCGCTTCCGATTTTCCATTTTAACTAATCAGTTTTTCGTCCTTGGTAAATAGGTTTGCTTAGGCAGCCAAAGTATGACCATTTGATGGAACTTCATAAGGCGATTAAGTTAAGTGAGAGAGCTTTAGTTAATGCAGATCCGACTGTTACACCGTTGGGAAACTATGAACAGGTAATTTCTATCCCTCGGGTAGTGGCTGCGTGTTTCCCTCGTTACTTAAAAAAAGAAAGTTTCTGCTGATGTATAGCAATGTTGAAAAAATCGCTAGGCACCCTCTAGGCACCTGGGACCGCCTAGGGCGCTTAGGCGGGCGCCTGGGACCGCCTAGGGCGCCTAGAACGCCTAGGCGGGTGCCTAGAGCGCCTAGGCGGGCGCCTGGCGGGCGCTTAGGGCGCCTAGGAGGCCGACTGGCTAGCGCCTAGGCGCGATTTTTGCAACACTGTATATATAGTTAACATGTATTTGTTTCCAGGCACATGTATTTTCTTCCAAGTCTGGTGGCTGTGCGGCGTTTCTGGCAAATTTCCATTTCAATTCGCCTGCCACAGTCACATTCAATCAGAGGCACTATGAACTGCCACCTTGGTCAATTAGTATTCTTCCAGATTGCAAAACTGCTGTCTTTAACACTGCCAAGGTTTGTGAAGCAACATCATTAATTTCCGTAATCCTTAAATGCCACAAGCTATAGTTTGGATTGTACTTTTAGCTAGCGATAAAATGCTTTTTGCCCCAACCTAGGTGGGATCCAAGACATCCCAGGTGCACATGTTGCCCGCGAATGTGCCAACACACTCCTGGGGAACGTTCACCGAAGATACATCCAGTATCGATACTGACTCGAAGCTAACTGTTATTGGTCTATTGGAGCAATTAAATGTTACCAGGGACACCAGCGATTACCTTTGGTACAGCACCAGGTAATTAAGAACGCCCGTTAATTAGAGCATTCCTATTACATTTCGCGTGTCTCTTTATGAATCGCGCTAACATAATGAAGTTTCCACTTTCCAGTGTTGAGATAAGTCCATCTGAATCTTTCCTACACGGAGGACGACATCCAATTCTCACCGTGCAGTCTGCGGGTCATGCATTGCACGTGTTTATTAATGGGCAATTTTCAGGTTCCGTTGCATTCTTTTGTCGTGAAATACCAACTTATAACACATTGAAATTTTACGAGTTCGTGGTCCTGAATTGCAGGGTCGGCTTATGGGACTAAAGAACACACACAGTTTACGTGTACGAGAAGTCTCAGTCTGCATGCTGGAGTGAACAAGATTTCTTTGCTCAGTGTAGCTATTGGATTGCCGGTTCGTTCCTTGCCCACAATCCTTATCAGCTATATCTCAGTCGTGAAATGCAAAGATTTAGCTACAAGGCCTGATTCATATGATTCTATGTTTGACATGCCTAATAGTTAACGAGAATTTTAAGAGTGCAAAAACTGGTTAGAAATGATTGATTAATTGTTCTGTCTAAATTGTGTTTGAAGAATGATGGTGCACGTTATGAGACAAGGAGCACGGGGGTCCTTGGACCAGTCATACTGCATGGACTAGACAAGGGACCTAGGGACTTAACTTGGCAGAAATGGTCGTATGAGGTAACGAAAATTGAAGCATGTGCTCCATCTCAATTAAAAATCTAAACTGATAGCTGGATTACGCATTTATAGAACCCATGACCTTTGGCATAGGGTTAGCTCTGATACCAAATTGAAGCATGTGTTTCGTCTCAACTAAAAGGCTAAACTGATAGTTGGATTACACATTTATGTTTATATATTATATCCTCAACAAAGAATATAGGCTTTTTGCTTTATGAGTCTTATAAAATGCATTCATGTGTTCTAGCTCCTTAACTACACCGCTCTGTATATACAGGTAGGACTGAGAGGTGAGGCCATGAACTTGGTTTCCCCAACTGGCATTTCATCAGTTGACTGGATTGAAGGGTCCTTGGTCGCACGACAACAACCTCTGACATGGTACAAGGTATGCAATTTAGCATCGACTTATATTTGTCGCATTGACATTTGATCCATTGGAAAAGTCGGTAATGAAAAGCTAGATGATTCGAAAACACACTTATCGTCGGTGTTTGTAGATATGAAATTTGAAGCCACTAAGCACTAAATCGATCTTGCAGGCTTATTTCAATGAGCCAAGTGGAAACGAGCCCTTGGCATTGGACATGGGTAGTATGGGAAAAGGCCAAGCGTGGATCAACGGGCAAAGCATTGGTAGATATTGGACAATCCATGCAACCGGAGATTGCAACACTTGTACATATGAAGGGACATACAGATCGCCAAAGTGCCAATCTGGTTGCGGACAACCTACTCAACGATGGTAAAAATATCGGAATACACCAATCTTGGACTTCACTAATAAAACGAAACACAATCAACATAAGTCTCTTCATGTCTTCTAATCGGTCCATTTCTTTTAGGTACCACGTTCCTCGATCCTGGCTGAAACCAACAGGAAACCTGCTGGTAGTCTTTGAGGAGATAGGCGGAGATGCATCGAGAATCTCTGTCGTTAAAAGAACACTCACTTACGTATAGAAAGAAATCATATTAAGATATTACTGTTAGTTTAGTTTTATTTATCTCTAAGAGCCAAAATTCACTGTTTTTACTCCCCTTTCTTTAGATCTTGGATTATGAAAGTTTTAGTCATAGTACATACAGGAAAGATGTAGTTGAAGACTACTATTCCAGTCTATTTAAATTGGAAGAAGATTATGATAAGGTGGCATATCTGTATAGACAGGATACATTGCCCAGAAACACCACTTACAGTCATACTAGGTACGAGGTGGGATTCGAACCGGAAACGCCGACTTCGACAAGATTCAAATGTCAACTCGAATGTTGGTACGATGTAACTCGTGTTAAAGGGTTAATTATATTCTAGTGTGGAGCTTTAATTATGTGAGTGTCTTGGTCTAATTTTATGCATAAATTATTGATTATTGTATATGTATAATTTTAAGCATAAATTATTGATTATTGTATATGTATTTCGGTGTTCCATTATGGATGCTCTTTAGGTATGTTCATTTTATTTAAAAATTCCCAGAATGGAATTGGCCGTGAAGATAAGTTTGGCACAATTGCTAACTCCCCGAGTACATACAACAGGACAAAACATCCTTAAAAAGCTGGCTAGCTACTAGCCAGTACAGTAGGCTTCTGAATATAAAGGAGGTAAAACTTCTTGTCGTTCTTGATAGACTAGATGGAAACAGAATAGGGAATTTTTTTTTCTTTCTAACGGAAAACATTTTTTTCTTATTTTTTTTAAATACAAAAATATACATAACTGTTGAGATTAACAAGAACAAGAAACAATAATAATGAAAGAAAGGTAAGGAAGACAAGATTTATGTGGTTCGGTAATATGCCTACATCCACGGGAGTGAAACTATTCTTATATTCATAGTGATAGTGATGGTGGTGACACAACCCTTTAGGGATACAACCAATATATTTATAGGTATCCAATCCCTATACAATAGGTCTACCTGTTTCACTCCTAATCCATATATGAGACAAACTCAACAATAACCTCATTTATAAACATCATTATCATTACTTACAAACTTTAGCTTATATATCTCACCTCTACGTTTAATAAGAATGACTATAGCTCGGTTTGAATCGAACCGTCTACCGCAGAAAGCGAACCAGAACCATCTAATTTGACATCAATTTCATTGATTCTGGTTCCGGTTTCAAACCGGGGAAAAAAATAATTTAACATTTTGCAAATTTTCCATCAATTTCATTCATTAATGAATAAATTTTTTTTTTTTTCATTCTTATTAAGAATGACAACTTGGTATATTTAATCCATGGGCGAATATACTAAATTGTTTACGACATGGGATGGGAAGATAATATTTTCAAAAGCTTAACTTGACCAAATAATTTAACTAAATTAAAGTAACTTTAATATAGTACTATCTTTATTGAGTTAATACTCAAAATCGTCATCGACTATAGTGGTTTTTCTCAATTTCGTCCTAAACGACTTTGGTGACCTAATATCGTCCCAGACTTTTGTGTTTCGCTCAATTTAGTCATCCATTTGTTATTCCGTCAAATTGGTGTTAAATTAAGGGACAATTCAGTAATGTTAATATTGATCTCTCTTTACTTTCAACTTGTGAAGTGCGAAATTCCTCTTTCTTGTACGAATTACACCCAGATTTACTCCCGGATCTGCAAATCAAATTTTATATTCGTAGTTTTAGGAGTAATTCTGGAGTAATTCGTAAAAAAAAAAAAATAATTTCGCAGTTCACATGTCTGAGTAAAGAGATGCCAATATTAAAATTACTGAATTGTCTATTTATTTAACACCAAATGGACAGAATAACAAATGAGGGACTAAATTGAGCAAAAACACAAAAATCTGGGACTAAATTGAGCGAAAAACAAAAATCTGGAACGATATTAAGTCACCAAAGTCGTTTAGGACGAAATTGAGAAAAACCACTATAGTCGAGGACGATTTTGGGTATTAACTCTATCTTTATTATTGTTTTATTTGTTTTGACTTATCTCTCTTTACCCTATTGCATGAGAATACAAATGAAAACGAATATGACATATATGTAGTGTAGGATAGGTACAATAAATAGTCCCAAAAAGTTTTGAATTTGAATTATTTTAAAATAGAAAACATAATTTACAAAAAAAAAAAAAGAAGAAGTTTAAATTGGTGGTTCAAACCGAAACTGAAACCGTCCTAGAAGGTTCGGGTTCCATTCGTCATTTTCTATAATCGGAACTAAACCATAAACATTTTATACTCACCTATCTAACAATCGTTATATCGTGAACTAGGATCTACCATAAATATTTTATACCCATGGTCCAAATTATGTATATTAAACATATTAGGTACTTCCAATTAACAGATTATGTACGTTCAATTATTATGTAGATTTAATTATAACTAATGTATATAACCTATGGTGCACACTTGTATGAGATCGTTTCACTTATGTCCACCTTGCAAGATGGATCTGTGTTCACAGAACAATTTGTGAGGAATAACTAGGTCCACCACTCCCACCTCCCGTGGTCACTCTGCAAATCAAAACATAAAACAAGTGACGTTAGAAATTAAAATTGAATGAATGAAAACACAAAGTAAGAAGGTTATAAAAATTACTTTTTTTTTTTTTTTTTTTTTTTTTTTCAAATCTTTCAACTTGATATAAATTTTTCTTTCTAATCATCTTGTGCTCAATTAACAACTCTTTAACTTGGGTATTGACTCTTTAAGTTACAATCGATAAAGAAAGTATATTAAACAGATACTACAATAATAGAGTTGACAATAGTCACAAAAATATAGATTTTCCTTAATTAAGATTGGTTGACTAGCTAACATCTTTCAATCTTGTGTGTAGAGTTTCAACAATTTTTGGAGCTAATGAACTCCTAAAAATGGTCAAAGTATCTATGAGGTCCTTGTACTATAATGTTTTGTTCAATTTAGTCCTTCTACCTTAATTTTGTTCAATTTAGTCCATATACTTTTAAAAGTGAAACAATTAAGGACAAGCTGATGTGGCGCTGACATTATATCGGTCAGGTCATCATACTTACATGCCAATTTATATATTACTTTATAAATATTTAAATTAATTATTTTTACCACCAATATATTAAATTAAAAATATGTCCAAAATAAATACATAAATATAAGCTATTGTCCTTAATTGTTTCATTTTTAAAAGTACAGAGGTTAAATTGAACAAAATTAAGGTAGAAGGATGAAATTGAACAAAACACTATAGTATGGGGACCTCATAGGTACTTTGAACCCTAAAAATATATAATCCCTATTGAAATTTTGTTCTTTGAGTGGATTGGATTATGCTATTAAGTGAATCTAATGTCCGAAGTCGCGCATACAAGAGAGAAATATGAAGAATTATACATTAGGCAGCTGAAATGACTACTTTACCTTTTCATTTAAAGTTCAATTTATCGTAATCTGACGAAAGAACCTCAATTGGAAAGAAATTGAAAGTCAAAAAATGTATCGTGTTCAAATTAAAAATCGAAGACTAATTTTAGAAAATCAATATAGTCGGAGAACCATGGCTGAAATTAACTCAAAATATATTGTCAAATCCTAAAACCTTTCTTTTAAGTCTGCAATTAATGAAAGGCTTTGTTTATTCCACATTATTAATCTTAGCCAACGGAATCCCCCCTGGTAACACGGTGCACTGTAAAAAAAAAAAAAAATCTTTACACACGCTCGGTTATTTTCTCTCTATAGAGTATAGACTATAGACTATAGAGGTCTTCCCCACACACAAAACTCACGCGCTCTCTCTCCCTCTCTTCGCGTCTCCGGCGGATGACATTCTGCTCCGGCGCTTCATGGCTAAAACACGGGCCACTCGTAGAACCCTAGATTCCTACACCGTCAAGTCCATCAGCAAAACTATCAAAGGTGAGTTGATTTTCAGGATGTTTTACTGGAAATTTCCAGAGCGGTGAACCGTTTGGTGGACTTTCAATCTCCACCGGAAAATCTAACTTCGTGCCGTCGTTTTCAGCCGGTGACTGCGTGCTGATGCGGCCATCGGAATCTTCGAAGCCCTCTTACGTCGCCCGAGTTGAGAAGATCGAGTCTGATAGCAGGGGGGCCAACGTGAAAGTTCACGTCCGCTGGTACTACCGTCCGGAAGAGTCGATCGGTGGCCGGCGGCAGTTCCATGGCTCCAAGGAGGTCTTCCTCTCCGACCACTATGATATACAGAGCGCCGACACCATAGAAGCTAAGTGTACGGTCCACAGCTTCAAGAGCTACACCAAGCTCGACGCTGTTGGTAATGAAGACTTCTTTTGCCGATTCGAGTACAATTCCTCTACCGGAGCCTTCAATCCCGATAGAGTTGCCGTGTATGTTAATTTTTTTTTTTCCGAAGTCTTAGCTTTCTGATTAAATGCTAACAGTTGAGCTCAATATCTTCCGCAAGTAATGTTATTTGTGTTATTTCTGCTTAATATTTTTGATATGTTAACATTTTACGGAGTAGCGACCTATAATAAACCTTTCAATTTACCCTGGGAAGTTCATACGTACATATGTTGCAGCAGTGTGAACTTTCAACTTTGCAGCTGCATGTGTTTTGTGCAGTTCTTTGAGCTTTCTAGTTTTCTGAAATTTGTTTGAGTTGGAAATTCTATGAAAATGTGAACTTCTGTTCTTGTTAACTTTGTAACTCCTGATTGCTTGATGTCCATTTTCATCTTGAAATGGCAGGTACTGTAAATGTGAGATGCCTTATAATCCAGATGACCTCATGGTTCAGTGTGATGGCTGCAGTGATTGGTGAGTTTGATGCTTTTGAATATTTTTCTTTGTCATTGGTTTTTGCCCTAAACTTCATAGGATTACTCAATTGGATTGAAGAGTAAACGGTTGATGAGTTTTGTCTGGTTCCTTTACATGTGAATGTTTATTGTGTTTGTTATTGGGACTTATAAAGTAGAGCTCTACCGTGTCTAGGAATGTGATAAAACAAGACACATAAAGGATAAATAATTTACGAAGCTCAAACTCTATGAACTTAGCAATGTCTGTTACCCCCCTCTTCAATTAAAGTTTGATTGTGCTTAAAAGTTAAGAAATTTAACAATACTGGCCCTGATTCCTTGTAGACATACAGGGGTTGCCTTATACATCAATCTCTACTATAAATCACTTGCACATAAATGCCTTTGCATTTATACAACTTTGATGTAGTCAGGAAAATTATGGAAATCCGAAATGTCTTTTGTCAATCATTTAACTGCGTAATATTGCAAATTTTTGCATCTACTTCTTTCTTGGTGAGAGATTGTTTGGCGCGAGATAGCTATGTCATGCACTCATTTTTATCAACTTTTGTGCTATAAACTCCCCACCCTTTTAGTTCATCTGTCTTCGAATTGCAGATTAATTAAGTTCAAGTTATACTGAGATCTACTATATCTATTTGGCAGGTTGTATACAGAATATGTCAAGTCCCATGGAGCCTAAGAATATTTTAGAAGTAGGATATATGTGAATTGGCTTTATTAATTTTGTTCTGTTGCCTTCAGTACCAAGTTATTCAATCGATTACCTTTTTGAGATGCCTACTTAAGGTACGGAAGTGCATCAAAATGACCTTAGGCCAACATCCTTGCAACTTGCAAGTAGTAATGTAGGAGCCACATAGGTCATTCTTAATTGGGAACAGAAGCTTTTGGTTATAGATAGGGATTGTTTGCGGACTAGCCCATAGTGTTAGCTGGTAGCTGCTGATTATATTTGTTTAAATATATTTTGGTAGAATTATCTGTTAGTTATTACTTATTAGCCATTAGTGGGTTGAATATGTAAACCGACACACACACGCATATTTATATAACGGAGTATAAATGTAGAGTATATCTAATATATATTTAATATTAGATTATTATATATAAAATACAGATATGTTATATTATGCAATAACAATAATAAAGGGTAGGGTTGTCAAAAAAGCTCATTTAATTAGCTTTTTGGGGTAAAATAGCTAATTCAGAATGTTATTTACTAAACACTCAAATTAGCTTTTTGTCTTGGTCACACAACTAAAAGCTCTCTAAAAACATAGTCACCAAACAGCCCCGTAGGTATCCACCTCTATTCTGTATCTATTATTTCCCTCTAACTTGTGCTCGTGTATGTTAAGAAGGCAGTTATTTGCTAACCATCTTGGATAGGCTGGTGATCAACGTGCTTTCCATCCTTTTAGGATGGACTTTTGGTGGTGAGGATATCTTTCAGGGTGTGGGCTCCATTGTTTGGTTTTAGCATTAAATTTTGGGATTTTATTGCAAAAACATACTCTTATATGCTACAATGCATGCCTCCATCTTTAAATGGTTGTATAATTTTCGTTCAGGTTTCATCCTACATGTATAGACATGGCAGCCGAGGAAGCCAAACAACTTGAAAATTTCTTTTGTCAAAATTGTTCTTCTGAAGATCCGAAGTTACAAAGCTCTCATGCTACTTCCAGACATTCAGATACAAAGGTAAGTCAATTCTTAAAATTCAAATAAGGAGGGCACTCAATATTTGCTGCAATTATCAGAGAGCAAAATAAGAAATTGATGAAACTTGAAGGTATCTGAAACTATTGACATTTCAGGTAGCAACAAAACGGCGTAGGAGGTAACCCACGCCTTTTCATGTGAGAGGAGATATAATATCGCTTTAGTTTCCTGAAGGGTGCAAGCAAACACCGAGGCAGTTAGGACTGCATCAGAAGCAACAATCATGTAAGCTGATGTAAAAAGGAAACTGGTTTTTATTAGTTGTATTGTCTACGTGGTTTGAGAGACAAATGGCCTTGTTTCCTTTAGATATAGGTCGAGGAAGTGTTTGGTTGTCTGTAATTATTTAATGTAGATTTCTCTCTTTGTTGGCTTGCTTTTTTTCTTTGCTAGGGCTGTATGATAAAGAGCTAATTATCTTCCCTATGTAAAGGGGTCCAGGTATTAATGAAACACATTATATTTTTATGTATGGCTTATTACTACAAGAGGCTTCTTGGTGTAGTACTCTAGCTTCTACAAAACTATAGATCTAAAATGAACCTGTGGCTGTGGATGCATGGGATTATGGGAATATAATGATAAGACTTATCAAAGTGAGTTTGAGAGCATTATTTTGTTTTTGTTAGACGTTGTGTCAATGCAGTAGTCTCGTTCTCTTGCGAGAGTTGTCCATTTTCAGAGTACTAAGATAGAAACAACTGATGTGGCATCATACATAAATTTAGTTTTTACACAACTTTTTAGAAGCCAAATAGGAGAGAGAGAAGGGAAAGAGAGAATGAGAGAGAAGAAAAAAAAAATGGAAAACAACAATGTCAGGTAGAAAAAAAAAAAAGTGAAAATAGAGATTTACACGCCCAGGGGCGAGTCACGCGCCCTCTGGGCGCATAGTATGCGCTACGCGCAGGGCTGTAACGATTAAAACAATTTCTCTCTCCTCCCGGTCCCACAAAAAAACAATTCATCGTGCAAATTAAATTTCTTATCTCTCATCTCTCCTCCAAATCATCATCTCTCACCTCCATGTCAATACAAAATAAAAAATAAAAAAAAATCTACTAGTGTGGATGCTCTCATCAATTTGGAATTTTGCACAATTTTTTAGAAGCTAAATAGGAAAGAGATGAGGGAAAGAGAAATGGAAGGAAAATGGGGACAAAAAAAAAAAAGGAAAACAACAATTGTCAGACGGAGGAGTACAAATTTATGCGCCCTTTAGGCCCAAGACGCGCACGAAACCAGCTATTACTCTCATTCATTTCTCTCCTTGGGGCCCACAAAGAAATCATATCTTGCCAGAGTTATAATTTGCTTCTCCCTCCTTCTTCTTTCGGATACACCTCACCATGGGCTCCACAAAAAATCAACAAAAATTCACTAGTGTGGATGCTCTAAGGTTGATGTGACTTTTTATTTTTATTTAAAAAAAAAAACAAAATGCACAGCTGAAGAAGACACTGACCATGGCGCTTGGCCACGACATCATTGTTCTGACAAAGATGGTGGTCATGGCGTCTTTTTTGCCTTTGTCCAGTATATATGTATATATTAATGTATATGTTGAATTTGTACCCGTCTGAATCGTCTTGTCATCTTCGTCATCTGAATTATTTTCTTCCCAACCATATCTGGAAGAAGACGAAGATTTCTTCTTCTGGTCATCTGCATAACAACGAATAGCGCAGTGTAGAATTAATATTGAAATTTACCAAAGCTCTCTCATGTACTATCACTTTTCAAATGCAAATAAGAAATTAAGAATAATGATGAATTTAATTAATCCGGAGGGTCCGAATTATTAAACCCAATAGATAAGGGAAATAGTAACGAGACAAATGTGTGTCACGGAGACAATGTCGTATTAATAGCAAAATGGTAAGTTGATTACAACGGGTGTAATGCTATTACAATAGAAGATCAAGACATCTAAAGTGACAAAACCAATACTCTTATATCCAAAAGAAACTCGTAACTCCCCCTCCCCAAGAGGAGGGGAGGGTTACAATCGCCCTTGACCACGTTCGGTCTCGCGAACGGACGCTCGGGTGATCGACCGAGGCCTTGCCCTAAGGCAAAGCCAAGCCCCCGGGCGAGGTCAACACGGGACTCGACCCTGGGCCCCGGGTCCAACCGAACCCGTCTTGCTCCGCTCCACTAGGTCGAATTTCTCTGGTCCTTTTCTCAATATATCCATCAAATAATTTTTTTTTTTTAAAAACATTGCAGATCGAACTGAAATTAAAAGTTTGACAATGTGGGGAAAACTATTTATATATATAAAAAAAAGACAAATAATTATTTTTAAAGAACTAGATTTCGTTTAAGAATTTGGTTAAAAACACCTATAGAAGGCTCGAGCTCGCATTCAATCAACATCAAATCAAATTTTGCATTCAATAAACATTAAATTTCGCATTCAATAAACATAAAAATTTAGAGAATTGAATTTCATTCATACAATCTTCTCCTTCTAGCCGTCTTCACCGAAAATACATGCTAAAAGCCTAGTACTACTCTAGGAACACAGATTTGGGAGACGAAGACGACCAAGAGATAATCGGAAGAGAATGATAGATATGGGAGAGACAAATCAACTTATAAATATATTTAAATATAATTGACACATGATAATTGATAATTGTTCTGATAGGAGATAGCGAGTCAGAAGCTCCAAAGGGAGAATTATAATTTTTCTGATAGGAGATCAGAGCGTTTTGGAATTTTTCTAATAGGAGATCAGAGCGAGATCAGAGCGTTTTGAAATTTTTTTGATTTTAGAATTTTTCTAATAGGAGATCAGAGCGAGATCAGAGCGTTTTGAAAATTTTCTGATAGAAGATCAGAGTATTCGTCCACCGGGTTTTGATCAATTTGTACCGGGTTTGATCAATTTGTAAATTCTTCCTCAGGTGGTTAAAAGAATGAAATTAGAATTATCGAAGCAAGAACTTTGGAGAATTGTGAATTTTTCTTTTTTTTTTGAAAGGAGATTAGAGCGTTTTGAAATTTTTCTTGAAAGGAGATCAGAGCATTCGTCCACCGGGTTTTGATCAATTTGTACCGGGTTTGATAAATTTGTAAATTCTTCCTCAGGTGGTTAAAAGAATGAAATTGGAATTATCGAAGCAAGAACTTTGGAGAATTGTGAATTTTTCTTTTTCTGATAGGAGATCAGAGCGTGTTTGTTTTCCTTGGAGATTGAAAAATTCGTCCACCGGGTCTGATCAATTTGTAAATTCTTTGATCAATTTGTAAATTCGTACATTTTGTAGCTAATAAGCTTTCTTTCAAAGAAAGGCAGAGTAGCTGTAATGAGATCCATATCCCTGCACCACATTTTGGATGTTTGAAACTAAACAGTATTGCCATAACACCGAGTTTGGGCAAGTTTTCGACATGCACAACAAATTTAAAAACAAACAAATTAAACTCAAACTAATAATTCCTGTTTGTTATGAGAGTATGGATTGAGGACTTCTCTATAATGCACTTTTTTTTTTTTTTGGATCTATATCATATCAAAGAAAGTGTGCACAATAAACACATTGCACCATAATACACAAAGAAGTATGTGCACAATCAATATAATGCATTGTATCATATAAATTGTCTTGAATTGTATATCATATGTAACCCTAACTAGAGAAATCAAATTTGAATAAGTCTATAACCCTAACCTGTAACCAGAATCCAATCTACCAGTTATACCTATCTTCTAGTCAGAACGAGACTTTATTATCTTCACGGTAGCGCCTGGCCTGTTGCAGTAATAGGGCGAGCTTTTCGGCTTGCTCATCATTGGATATGTCATTTTACTCAGTTTCTTCATCCTCTCCTTCGCAACCTTGTTCCTTGCACAATAAGGAAACAACTTCTCATCCAAATCATAATCATAGCCATCGTCCTCGTCATAGTCTTCCTCTTCGTTGTCAATATCATAATCAGGGACATGGCTTAAGGTGCTTAATCTGGATTACGTAGTGGAGATTGACTGTATCAATGTTGTCAATGGCATCAAGAACCAGTTTATGCATTCTTCGTTTGACCTTATTATTCATGATGTTAGAGAAATAGCTAGAACTTTTTCAAATTTTTGCTTTTTGTTTGTTAAACGGTCCGCGAACAGGGTCACTCATTTGTTAGCCCGGAAGGCCTGGTCTAAGTCTGACTGTATGCACTGTTTCTCGGTATCTCTCTTTTCCATTGTTCATGCTCTCGAGCTAGACTCTATTTAATCTAATATATCCTTTCGGTTTAAAAAAAAAAGTTTGGTTTAGTGCTTTTAGATTTTTATTCATATTAATGCTGTGAATGTCATTATATTAGGATTGATTCCTTGATTTGTTGCTTTTCTATTTTTAAAACATTTATTCTCATGGCTATATAACCAAACATCAATATTAATAATCATTCCAATTCCACCATACTACCAAACATGCAAAATACTTTTATCAAAATTCATATCATTACTAAGTATTTGATTCTTATTTCGATTTTAATTTTAATGTGCGAACCAAACACAACCTTAGTTTATTGGTTGGATACACATTGCCATTATGTTAAGTGTTAACATCGAATTATTAATTAATGCATACGTTTGCTTAAAGGTTTTTGTCTTATGTCAAGTCCAATCAATCAATAATAACCTAATATGGTATGACATAAGTGAACATAGCGTTTAAGCCAAAGCCAACTACGTTCATAATTTGAGCAACTCAAACCGGACAAATTAAATATTAATGTATGTTTCATTCTGTACGTTCATTAAAATAAGCCCGCATCCATGATCTAGTTTCACCTAAAAGATTTCATATACATTAATACATACGTGTTATTAATTACTTTACCTTAACAACATAAATTAATCAATGAAAAACATAAAACATCTGCTTTATATAGTATCTTCCCCTATTGAACGTGATTGATTATCTTTATATAAACTCTTAAGTTTAAAATATTTTAATGAAATATATTTTATAAAATAAAATGTCAAATTTAATATAATTATCAAATATTAGGAGTGATGATATCCTAGAAGAATGATATACTAAGACTCTGTTTGACAAACCTAGTTGAAAAGCTATAAGTTAGAAGCTGAAAGCTGAAAAAGAGCTGAAAGCTGAAAAGTTATAAGTTCGGAGCTGAAAACTGAAGAGCTGTTAAGCTAGCTGTTATAATTAATAGTGTTTGGTAAAATTAATTTTTTGATAAGCTGATAAATGTAAAAAGACTAAAAAAGACATTTTCATAAAATTTAAATTAGTTTGTTACATATCAAAATTTAACATTTTGTCTTTAAAAAAACAATTAACATTTTGTAATAAAACTATTAGCATAATCATGATTTAGCATTTCATAATGAAGTAACAATATTGTTATAAATCTCATAATGATAATAATAATAATAATAATAATAATAATAATAATATTTGCAGATAAAGGAGAAGAGAAAAAGATTTTAATTGGGAATGGTAAATTATGTCATTTCTTTAAAATAATAAGGATAAAAATGGAAAAAAGTTAGGAAGCTAGGGGCTTATTTTGAACTAGTGTTCCAAACTAAGCTCTTATTTTAAGTTTGGAGCTTATTTTGAAAACATTACCAAGCTTATAGCTTATTAATAGCTTAGAATAAGCTATAAGCTCCTAAATAAGCTCTGTTTGACAAAGCCTAAATTAAGTAGGGGATCAGGCCATCGTTATACCATTGATTAATCACGAGTATCATGATATACAACTAACATATGATGTATTTTCAGTTAACAAATTTTGTATATTTAATTATAATTGAATATACATAATTTTTTAAATTGTACATATATAATTTAAATGTATATTTAATTATAATTGAATATACATAATTTCTTAAATTGTACATATATAATTTAAATAAGAATTTACATCCTTGATTTACGATATAATTTACCTTTTATCAGGCAAATATAAATAGTGATCGAATGGGGTTAAAATAAAGAGATTTACGGAACCGTCAAAACGGAACTCCGAGAAATAGGCCTTTTTCTAGCCCAATTATGAAAAGAGGCCTAACCAAACACGCGAAGGAACTGCCGCACCATAATCCAATCAGACATCGGCACTTGTCCGTTCTCTATTGGCTAGAGGTTGCCTCCTATTCGAAGCGAACTCCCTCCCAGAGTCCCAGTGGAAGCATGGCAGATACAGAGATACATACATCGCCTTCTATGTATATATATATATATATATACACGCCCTTTTGTATGCCCCAAACAACAATCAACAATGGCTTCCCGTTTCTCTCTCCTGTTCTTATGCACCCTCCTGGCGACGACGTCTTTGGTGTTTGCCGAAGACGACGGCGATGACATTTTCATCCGTCAAGTAGTTGGGGACGGCGACCTGTTGAGTGCCGACCACCAATTCACCATTTTCAAGAGGAAATTCGGCAAAGCGTACTCCTCCGATGAGGAGCACGATTACAGGCTCTCGGTGTTCAAGGCTAACATGCGCCGTGCACAGCGACACCAGCAGCTTGACCCTTCCGCCGTCCACGGTGTCACTGAGTTCTCCGATTTGACTCCCACCGAATTCCGACGCAAGTTCCTCGGTTTGAATCGCAGGCTTAAGTTTCCGGCTGATGCGGAAACAGCTCCGATCCTTCCCACGGATGATCTTCCGTCTGATTTCGATTGGAGAGACCATGGTGCCGTTACGCCTGTTAAGAATCAGGTTAGCATTCATGCGTGTATATAACAAACAATTCATGCGTGTATATAACAATTTTCCTTCTTTTTTACCCCCAATTTTGAGCTTCTATAGCACGTAGAATGTTTGGTAATCTGCTTTTTCCTGTTGGTATATGAATTCCGAAAAATTATTTAACTGGTAATTGAAAATTAGGGCACCTGCGGGTCGTGCTGGTCGTTCAGTACCACTGGAGCACTGGAGGGTGCCAATTTTCTGGCCACAGGGAAGCTCGTGAGCCTTAGCGAGCAACAGCTTGTGGATTGTGATCATGAGGTCTGATACTATACCCTTTTCACTTAACAATCGCATATGTTTTTTTTTGGCACTAATATAAGCTGGAATTATGTTTAGTGTGATCCTGAAGAAGCTAGTTCTTGTGATTCTGGGTGCAATGGCGGGCTGATGAATAGTGCCTTTGAATACACACTCAAAGCTGGTGGACTTATGAGAGAAGAAGACTATCCTTACACGGGCAATGATCTTCAAGTCTGCCAATTTGACAAGACCAAGATTGCTGCTAAGGTTGCTAACTTTAGCGTTGTATCCCTCGACGAAGATCAAATTGCTGCAAATCTTGTCAAAAATGGTCCTCTTGCAGGTTAGTCATAGACCCATAGTTATGTGATTTATTTTTTTTCTCATGAATTCATTGGTTGCTGATACTTGCGAGTATTTGGATGCAGTGGCTATCAATGCAGTGTTCATGCAGACTTACATCGGGGGAGTTTCGTGCCCATACATATGCTCCAAGAGGCTGGACCATGGTGTCCTGTTGGTGGGTTATGGTTCAGCAGGCTACGCTCCCATCCGGTTGAAAGAAAAACCATATTGGATCATCAAGAACTCGTGGGGCGAGAGCTGGGGAGAGAAGGGATACTACAAGATCTGCCGGGGTCGCAATATCTGTGGAGTGGACTCCATGGTTTCTACTGTTGCAGCTGTTAACACCCCCACTTCAGACTAGCAGGACAGGACACGTTCTGTAAAGTAGTTCTGTAAGATATTGTTTGTTTGCAAGCGTCTCACAGAGAGCCACACAAAACAACATACTATGCAAGTGTATTCATTATTAGATTTCATCAATCTATTTCTCAATTTCGTCAACTCTGAAATACAGTTCATGCAATTGTTCTGTTTTTTGATTGATCCACTGAGCTGAGAAGCTTACATATATGGATAGCTTATATCTCATACTACCAAGGTCAAGGTCAATAGAATTACCTTCATGTAGTAGGTAATGATTGCACCACTGTTGATTCTTTTCCTTGTTAAGCAAAGTGAAAGTGAACTTGTACCCATCTTCCTTGTAAAACACACAAAAATTAGAATGATAATGGAAACTATAACAGCCCGAGCCCGTTTTGGTTCTGTAAAAGATTTGAAGGGGATTGGAATTGAAATTTTATAGAAAATATTTCAAGAAATTATTGGGAATACAAATTCTATTATTTGGTATTTTGGTTGGATTTGTAATTGTTGGTATTTTGGTTGGATTTGTAATTGTAAAGAATGAGAAGAAAATATTTTTCTCATTCTTGAGGAAAACATCAACCAAACAAAAAGAAAATCTAGTTTTCCTCAAATTAGGAAAACATTTTCTATCATCCTCAAATGGAAACATAACATTTTCCATCCAGCCATAATATTAACATCTTTAATATAATCAGCAAACATCTCCCAAGTCTATAAGAATAATTTGTCTGTAATATGAACATCTTTAATATGATCATTATTGGTATTACTATCAAATTCTCACGAGTCTTAATCGCTTGCAAGCACCCACTAATCTCTTTTTTAGCAGCAATACTTCAAATGAGATTCATTGCTAAAAAAAACCTCTCCTATGGAATGATCAATGATCAAAGTATCGCTTGCAAGCACCCACCAATCTCTTCTTTAGCAGTAATACTTCAAATGAGATTCATTGCTATGGAATGATCAAATAGCATTGAAGTTGCAATGATGGAATGATTTTGAATACTGAAGTTGCAATGATGGAATTTGGAATTTTGAATACTGAAGTTGCAATGATGGAATGATTTTGAATACCGATTCATTGCTAAAAAAATCTTTCCTATTTTTGAATTATCAAAGCAAGAACTAAAGGGAGGAATTTAAAAAAATCTTTTCTATTTTTGAATTATCAAAGCAAGAACTAAAGGGAGGAATTTTTTTTTTTGAATTATCAAAGCAAGAACTAAAGGGAGGAATTTTTCTGAACTAAAGGGAAGAATTTTTCTGATAAGAGATCAGAGTTGCAATGATGGTGAATGGTGATTTTGAATACCGATTCATTGCTAAAAAAACCTCTACTATCAAAGCAAGAACTGTATGAGAGTTTCTGTGATAAGACAAGCAAGAACTTTATGAGAGTTTCTGATAAGTATAAGAGAATTTTTCTGATAAGAGATCAAAGCGTTTTTCCTTTTGCAAATTTTATCATAGTGCAAATTTTATCATAGGAAAAGTTGACTTATCAAAGCGTTTTTCCTTTGCAAATTTTATCATTAGGAGAAGAGGAGAAGTTGATCGTTGATTCTCTATAATACACTTACTATATAAGTGTGCACAATAAACACATTGCATCTTTATAAACACATTGTGCCATAATACACAAAGAAGTATGTCCACAATCAATATACCTAGCTAAGTCTATAACCCTAACCTGTAACCCGAATTTTCGAATAAGTCTATAACCCTAACCTGTAACCCGAATTTAATCTAAACCTTATTATCTTCACCCGGAATTTAATCTAACGAGACCTTATTATTTTCACGGTAGTGCCTGGGCTTGGCTTGTTCTTGTAGTAATAGAACGAGCTATTACCTGGCCTGTTGCAGTAATAGGGCGAGCTTTTCGGCTTGCTCATCCTTTGACATGTCATTTTACTCAGTTCCTTCATCCTCTCCTTCGCAACCTTGTTCCTTACACAATAAGGAAAGGACTCCTCATCCAAATCAAAATCGTCCTCGTCATAGTCTTCCTCTTCTTGGTTAATATCATAATCAGGGACATAGCCGTGATCATTTTTGTAGTCATTGAGTCCAACGGGCGCAACATCAAGTGCGACGGCGATTTGGGCGGGCGAGGGAGATCCCGTGGAGACATCCGGATACGGAGATCCATGCAGACAGAAATAGTCTTGTTTCAGCACAGTTTCACCAACGACAGCCTCTGGTTCGATGCCAATTTCAACGTCGTCGCCGTCAACGAAGACTTCGAGGTCTTTATCGTTCGGGGAGTAGTAGGCTTCGTGATCATCGTCGTCGTCGGAAGGGATCACGAACTCCCAGGAAGACAAGTCCTCGACGAAGTCGTACTCGTCGATCCCCGGCTGAGATCCGGCCACCTTCCTCGAATCTCGAAAGATTCTCATCAACATTTTCTTTACTTTCATGGATTGTTCGGCTATGGTTAGAGTTCTGAAAGGCTGTGGTGGTTCAGTATTGAGAAATGCGGGTATAAAAAAGCCTTTTTTTAATGCCGTGGAGCCCACCATCCGTATACTCGATAAGAATTCTGCTGTTATATGGATGGAAACTACAAAAATATTTGGAAAAAAAAAATAGAGTTGTTATACTGTAGAATACAATGACTGATTTTTGTGAAGTTTAGAATTGTTATTGAATACAATGACTTGGGGTCAAAATTGTGGCAAATTATATCGAGTATCAGGGTGCATAATGCATTGTGTGTTTTAAATAGTTCTTTTTTTTGAAAATTCTGTTTCTTATTTTTGTCGTTAATTTCTAAAAAAAATGTGCATAATGCATTGTGTGCTTTGAACAATTCTTTTTTTTTTTTTTTTAATTTTTTTGGAAATTCTGTTTCCTATTTCTGTTGTTAACTTCTAAAAAAAAAAATCTTGTTTCGTATGTACAGAATTGTATAGTAGAATACACATAAACTCTTAACATAATACACATAATTTAACATAATACATAATACACATAAACTCTTAACATAATACACATAAACTCTTACCTTAATACACATAAACTCTTACCATAATACACATAAATTCTTACCATAATACACAAACTCTTAACATAATACACATAAATATAAGTGTTAAAAAAATTAAAAAAAATTGTAACTAGATTGGACGGACGGAACAGTGTCCATCGTGTTAACTCCCCACCAATTTATAAAAACGTCGTCGTTTTGGGCCAATATGCACAATACATTATGCACCGCCAACTTATAAAAACGTCATCGTTTTAGGCCAAGACGCACAATACATTATGCGCCGTCTTAAATCTTAATGCACGATATAACGATTGCAAAATTCACGTCATTGTAGTTTGACAGATTTATTTATTTATTTAGAGAAAAGGCCAAATAGAGTATTGAATTAGAGACCAAAAATTAATTGAGTCACTGAATTAAAAAAGAGTTCAATTAAACCATTTGAGATAAGAATTGACATATGATATCAAAATACTTTCTTTATTTTATTGATTGTTGAAATCTTTTTTGGTCCAATAACTCAATTGGACTTTGTTCTCTTTTTTCAGTGAACTATTCGACTATTTTCCTTTCCTTTTTAATAAATGAACCAATGAGGTTTGCCTTAGTCGAGAGGTAATGTAGTTTAAAGAAGGGTTTGGTTGGAATTTTTCCAGTGAACATTATGAACTCAAAAAGTAACAGACGTGAAATCCAGCAGTTTGAGAGAATTCCTTATACAAGACATGTGCACAATGATACCTTATGATTAAGTAAACAAGCCAGGGAGGAAGGTGAGAGCAGGAAAGAATATATTAAAAGAAAAAAGGGCACTTTGAGTAAAGGCAAGACATGATATGAATATTGTAGGACTCGGATTGCTTTATGTAGCTTTACTGTGCAGTGAAGAAACCATATGCCCTTCATCTCCAAAATGGAATATGATTGAAGTTTTTGAGCCCAAGACATCCCAATTTGTGAACAAATAGAGTACTGCTCCTTACCCCTGGCCCTGGAGTACCTGCACAATCTCCTCAGCTCTGGACTGAATGCCTTTCAAATACTCGACAAGTACCCGTTGCTCGTAAGAACCACCTTGCTGAGAGAGAATGGGGGAGAGGTAAATCATTGGGGAACTGACTTATGAAATACTGGAAAACAAAGATTTCGAAAGAGTATATATATGCCTACCGTCCGGATTAATGTCCGCTCGATTCGCTTATTAACAACTGCATACAATTCCTCTGGTGAGATTTCACCTTTGCCCACAGTCATTCCATCTAACAACAGCCTATTCCATTCTTCTTCTGGAGCTGCATCAAAATAGCAATAGTCCATATTGTGTCATTTGAACATGGTAAAACAAACAGGGCAAAATGTTATGATCCTAACTGTAAGAGAAGAACCTCATTTAATGATTTGCAACATGGGATCAAGTGATGAACTAATAGGAATAAGTTCAATTATAAATAAATAAAGAGTTAATACCCAAAATGGTCCTCGACTATAATGGCTTTTCTCAATTTCGTCTTAAACAACTTTGGTGACCTAATGTAGTCCTAGACTTTTGTGTTTTTGTTTAATTTAGTCCTCCGGGCTCCGGTTGTCATTTCGTCTATTTGGTGTTAAATAGAGGTACAATTCAATAATTTTAATATTGGCATCTCTTTACTCCTAGACCTGCTAAGTGCGAAATCCCTATTTCTTTTACAAATTACTCCTATAATCTTATTCCCAAACCTGCGCATATACAATTTGATTCGTAGGTATGGGAGTAATTCTGGTAGTAATTCGTAAAAGAAAGAGGGATTTTGCAATTCACAGGGCTAAGAGTAAAGAGAGGCCAATATTGAGATTACTAAATTGTCCCTTTATTTAACACCAATTTGACGGAATAACAAACGAGAGACTAAATTGAGTAAAAACACAAAAGTCTGGGACTACATTAGGTCACCAAAGTCGTTTAGGACGAAATTGAGAAAAACCACTATAGTCGAGGACCATTTTGGGTATTAACTCAATAAATAAATTGTAAATTAAAATCAGGCAAATATATATCTCTCCAGGATTGCTGGAAGAGGTAATTGTTTGGCCTACCTCAAAGATTAACACATACACAGCATGGTTAGTTGTTTTCTTGCAAAAAGGAAAATGAGTTTACCCCCATTTGGTGCCACTATGTTGATCTCCAACCAGAGAAGTTATTATACTTGTATAATTAGATTATGACTTATATCATCATATATTCATATGTACAGCAGACTGCAGAGTAGAAACCTTTAATTATGGTCTCAAGAAACTGTTCAGCCTTTAAAATCTCATCCCCTGCACCATAAACAATAGCAAACCTCAATCACGAGCAATGGATATTGGCTAAGAAGTTTAACGTGTGGAACAAGTGTTTCACTTTTCTCAATGAAGATTTTAAGTTACGGATACCAAATGATGAAAATTGTGAACCTATAAATACAAAGTATGAGTGCAGCTTTAAAGTTACCTTTTCTAGCAAAACTACGCTTAGAGAGAACTCTAGAAGCATAGAGCTGCAAAACTTTTTGCAGCATAGCTTCAAGCCCTGGCTTGTCCCCATCTTCTTTTGCCTATAAGTTAATACATAGAACAAGTTAGGATTATAAATAACCATAGTTTGACTAGGATAACTAGTTGAGCATAATTTGCTCTAGGATTCAGTTTCACTGCTCAGCAGGCAATTGTTAGATCTCTTGATCTCAAAATAACAAACAGAGATGGTTGCACCTCTGATAGGCAAAATGGTCCTTGGTGTTTATGGAATTATTATAGCAGGTTGGCATTGGGCCAAGCTACAGGAAATAAAAATAACCAAGGAAGGAGTTTGACTCAAGTGACGAGCAATCTTCATTTATAGCTGGTGGTTGATTAGATGTTAAGCACTCGACAACTAGGGAAAATGTAACATACAATATTTGCAAAATAAAATCCAGTTGTAAAAAATGGTAACTTAATTTTACAGGCAGAAAGAGGAGACAAGTAATTAACACAGTTCCAATACAAGAATCTTACATTCCGTAGTTGTGCATTGACTTCTGACAGGAATCCTTCATCTAGTTGGCCTTCTTGCTCCCTTTGATTTAATTCCTGAAAGTTGCCCAAGATATCAAACCTATTAAAATCACAAAGAGTACTAGTAACATAAGCAGAATGCAATGAAGAAGTGTATGATGGCCAATCAGAAAGTGATGCTAAATGTGACAATTGGTAATAGAGTAGTCAATAATGAAAAGAGAAAGTTGATGGCAATGGCTTGGATGGAGAAGTAGAGAACTGTGATGGGAAGTTCATCATGCATGCTAAACTAATATTAAACAACACCCTTGAAGAACAAGCATACTTTCTCCATAAGGCTGAGAGCTTCAGGATCCCTTGGGGGCCAAGGAATTTCATCCTCTTCCTGAGCTGCAGGTCTTAAGATGGCTTTGAGCACATCGGTAGCTGACTCTATCTTTTCCTACAAGAACCAAAATCAGTAACACACGACACATTATAGCGGCTTTCAATATGGAATAAACTCCAGACTAACAACCAACTTTTTTTTTCTTTTGTAGTTTAATCTTGGGGGAATGGAGAATAAAGAAAGAAAATGGAAAAGACGTCACTTTATTTCATTTAACTGGTAAAAATTCTTCTCTCTTAGAATGCTATTCGACATTTATTTGAAATGAGGAGAGAAGAAACCATACATATGTCTTGTGAACAATACTATCTACCAAGCTCATTAAGAATGATGCCAATTCTTCCAGGTCTTTCTGCAAATGCAAAGAAAAAAAAAAAAGGTTTATTCACAAGGCTAAGAACTGTATCAGAGGTGTGCATAAACAGAACATTATCTGGGGTAGATACGTGCTTTGTCATCTTCAGATTTGCAGTTATCTGCTCTAGCCGCTAGTCTTATCCAAAAGCTCTCATTGAAAGAAAGGACATTCTCCACAACGAGTTTCTGAAGCTGCTTCCAAACCAACAGAAGGAAGGCTTAAGATAGACATATTGTTAGAATTGAAGTTAATTTTACAAAGACAAGGCCTATTCCACTATGATAAACCTATTTCACTCCCACTTAATGGCTACTAATGCATTAGTTTTCACTTTTCACACATTTGTGGTAGCAAACCTCACTTAAAAAAGTGGCTGAGGGTTTTAGAATTGAAGCAAAAATTAACATCACAATAGGAATGGCTGCATTTCACTTACTTCCTTATCATCTGCAGCCCTCAGCATATCTATAAGCCTGTCCATTTCCACTGTCTTCCTAAATGAGTTCTCAGCATCTTGATTGGCTGCACAAATCAAAGTTCTCCTGCTTATTTCATAAAACAATCAATCTGATAATCAATATTACTCGTAATTAGTATCTATAAAAGAGAATTCCGTGACCTTAACTCAAATTACCTCCGGTTCCACTTGACAAAATTTCTATAAGGAATCGTATTCAACTTCTCTCTCCTAACAAGTCCACTCCACAAACAACGCTGCAACGAGAAATGAGCGATAAAAGTAAGCAAAAATTCAACGTAAGATAATAGAGGACTG